CGAAGCTTCTCTTCCTCCTTACTCCATCTCATGATTGCCCTCCGATCGGGTCGAGGTCCAAATTCCCGCTCAGCTGCATCATTGCCAAATTCTTTGGCAAGCTTAATGACTTTTAACTTGAAGCCTCCAGTGTAGGCGTATCTCTTCATTTGTTCAGCCATTTTGCAGTTTCAAAATAACACAGTAACCGATTACCGTGTACAATGCTTGCAAGTCGCACGAAAACAAAAACAAAACACAAAAGAGGGTTCGACGGAGCTTTATTATTTTATGCATTTTTCACGCATAAAACGTATACCTGCTTTATATATGCCAACCCCCCTACTTTTCGGGCTTGGAAATTTTGGAAAAAAAGGGTGGCTTATGCATGGGGAAATACGGTATACTGGAATTTCGTAAATCAAGAGCATCCTAATCCTCGTTCAGGCACTGCTTGCCACCATCTTTGGTGACAACCCAAAAAGATAAAAACATGATACTTCTCCCAATTCAAATTAAAGGTTATGGAAGATGCTTACTTGCCATGCAGAAGTTGAAAATCCTGTTTATTAGCTTCCAACAAATAAAATCCGACATCAGGAAAGGCTGTGTCTTTTGAATATGTGATAGAGAAAATGCTACAATACGCTGGATCGGGACAATAATGTATCAAATCCAATGGATATTTCATTCCCAATAAAGTGCTGGCTAGAAGAGCTCCGTAATTTAGCCTCATTGGAAACGGACGGAGGATAGTTTTAAGGCCATAACTGTGGACTTTTTAGGAGCCCTCGACCCATCCGTGCCGAACTTTTTCCCACACGTCATCGGAGCCAGGCAATAAGCTAAGGATAATAATGAACCTCAATCTTGATGAGGCATTGCATGATTCATTTGGCTGATTTCCGATTGCGATTGGCTGCCTTACTTGATTAAATGTACCGCAGAATGGAATAAGGATGAGCAGAATGTTCCGTCAACAGCCGAGGCTGACTTCTGATGAGGCCAATTTACGGTCCTTCCTACGAGATGAGTATTCCAGTAACATCAAGCAATTAAGGGAGCCTTCGAAACACAGCATTTCTTCATACAATACACATCAAAGCATCAGTTTCGTAAGTTCCCCCCAGCTGATTTCACAAAATTGACAGTGTCAGAATCACGTGTAGGCATTCATATCGTAGCAAGACTTCAAGACTATTGAGACCACTGCCAAGCACAATCCCCATCGCCTAATCCACCAATCAAGACAACCATGCGCAAAGTGGTGTGAAAAAGAAGAAAAGTTGGGTTTTGAGGAATCTCTTGTTTCATAATTGTTGGGATTACTTCCATTTCGAGTAGAAG